CACCTCCTCCATCGTCATCCCTGCCGAGCACAGCCGGGCTTGGGGCCGCTCGGCACGGCCGCGTCCGGCACCCCCGATCCCGGGGCAGCCCGCGCCCCGGCTCCCCACCAAGCTGGGGGACAGGAAGGGGACAGGGGGCCGGGCAGGGAAGGGAAGGGAAGGGGGTGCTAGGCAGCGCAGCCAGCTCCACAGCTCCAGCGCCAGCCCAGCCAGCAGAAGGGAAGGGACGGACAGGCAGCGCAGGTAGCGCAGGCAGGGGACACGCGGCGAGGGAGGGCAGCTGGGAAGGGGGACACTGCCGCGGGGTGCAGGGGGGGCACAAGCCCCCTGCCTGCACCCACCCCCAGGCAGCAAGGCGGGGTCCAGGGGGTCCATCCCCGGCAGGCAGAGGGGCTTAGGGGTGCTGGCTCCCCAGCTTTTGGTTTGTGGCCACTTGCATCTGAGTCTCGAAGGCCCGGACCTCTTCCAGGGACATGTCTGGAAGGCAGAGAGCCGCTCACCGGGATGGCCTGGCACCCTCCACCAGCTGTCACCGAACCCGGAGCTCCCGTCCCCGTGCCCGCATGTGGCAGTCGCCTGCAGCGTGTGTCCCTGCCAGAATGGGGGTGCGGGAAACACAGGCAGGGTGCTGGGACCCCTCTCCCCGTCCTCCCCGAGGGGTGCAGGGGAGCGTGCAGCATGCGGGGGTACAGGCAGGGGTGCAGGCAGCACAGGCAGAGCAGGGAGTGAAGGCAGAGCAGACAGCACAGGCAGAGCAGACAGCACAGGCAGAGCAGGCAGTGAAGGCAGCAATGCAAGTGGAGGAAGAGCAGGACCTGTGGTGGGGTCAGTGGCATCAGCAGTTAGACCTGCAGTCCCCTCCCTCCCCATGGGCACTGTGTGCTCCCCTCCCCACAGCACCAGGGTGACCCCACAGACTCACGGGGTGACCCCACGGACTCACGAGGTGACCCCACGGACTCATGGGGTGACCCCATGGACTCACCGCACCACTCGTCCACCCAGGCGAAAGCCTGCCGGTGCCCTATCAGCAGGATGTCCCGGATCACCTGCAACACCACGGGGGTCAGCACCCTGTCACTGCCCCCCCAGTGCCCCCCAACCCCCCTTGGGCCTCCCTCACCTTGTGCACGAACTGCTCCACCCGCGTCTGCAGCCCCCACACCTCGAACTTGACGCTCACCAGTTTGTAGGAGCACATGATAGGCTTGGTGTGCTGGCGCCAGCCCTCCCGCAGCGGCCCCCGGCCCGTCTTGGCCGAGCTGAAGAAACGGGGGTCCTGGGGGGACGGGGAAGATCGGGGTCATGAGTTCTCCCTCGGGAGAGGAGACAAGGAGGTGGCCTCAGGGAGCTCCCTTGTCCCCAGCCATGGTACCTCCAGGCTGCGGTAGTAGCGCTCAGGGATCTCGTCGAAGGCGATGTCCAGGAAAGAGACCTCGTGGTCACCCAGGATTTTGTCACTGTGGAAGATCTGGGGAGGGGAGGGAGGGTGAGTGACAGGGACCACGAGTCACAAAGTGATGAGTTTGCCAGTTCTCAGCTGCAGCGCACACTCACGTTCTCGCTGTCCCCGCAGTTGTCCTCGTACTTGGTCTCGATGTAGATGGAGAACTTGGGCAGGAAGGAGCACTGCAGGGAGCGGCTGTCAGCCGCTCCCTGAGGGACACCTGTCCCGAGGGACGCCACCCCCAGGGACACTGATCCTGAGGGACACCCACCCAAAAGACACCCAGCCCTGAGGGACACCCACCTCCAAGGATGACCATCCTCAAGGACTGCCTGGCCAAAAGGACACCCTCTCCAGGGAACTCCCACCCCCAAGGAAATCTGAGCCCCAAGGGAATCCCACCCTGAGGGATGCCCAGCCCTAGGAACACCCACCCAAGGGCCACCCACCATGGTGACACCCACCCTGAGGGACACCAACCCCTAAAGGATGCTGTTCCAAAGGACACCCACCCCTAAAAAATGCCCCCCCAGCACCCCCTCCCCAGCCACCTGCTGGAGGAGGGGTCAGGTCATCCCATGGCACCTCCTTACCGTGTACTCTGCAGGGACACCATGGCCCAGCAGCATCACAGGGCGGCATCACCGGGTGATATCACAGGGGAGAGAGGGAGCAGTGAGACCGGGGCCAGCTCTGTCAGCCCCGCCACCACAGGGCAGGGACAGGGTGCCCGGGGTGCCCGTGCCACGCCCTGTCTGGGGCTCACCCGTGATGGTGTAGGGGTAGTAGTTCCAGGCCTTCTCAGTGATGTAGAAGATGCGGGGGGTCACCGCCCGTGCCCAGCTGGGCAGTTTGCTGTGGGGACCGTGTCAGGGGACCCCCTCAGGACAGGACATGGCTGGTGTCACCCAGCCCTGCACTGCCAAACACAGCCTGGCTCTGGGATCCCACCCCAGGAACCCTACCTGCCACCGAGGACCCTCACCTCCACTCCAGGATGCCCCCAGGGACCCTCACCTGCACCTCAAGACCCTCATCTGCATCC